CAATTCTGTGAAATAAAGCTGCCAAACAGCATTTAGCTTTCCATTACTAAGTTACTGAAGAAATTCCAAACAGGGAGTGAGGCAAACAGCAATTACAGTTCTAAAGAAAGACACAATGAAGTTTTTCAAAACTGCAAAGGACTTGTCTGTACTAGGAAAAAGAGTAATTTGATATTAATATTGATATTCAATCCCCCCTCCCCCCCCCCCCAGCCCCTACAACCTACTGTCTAAATCATAATCTATAAGTTTAACTTCACTATTTTTTTGGTCAGAATGAAGAAAGTTTTATTTTGGCGAGTGTCATAGTTTAAACCCAGCCATGCAACTCGTTCACTCACCTCCCTTCTTCCCCCCCCCCCCCCCGCCCTCCCTCCCCCTGCTCCTGGAGGGATGGGGAGGAGAATCAAAAGAATGCAACTCCCACGAGTTGAGATAAGAACAGTTTAGTAACTAAGGTATAACACAAATCACTACTGCTACCACCAATGATAACAATGATAAAGGAAATAAGAAGGGAAAAGAATACAACACCTCAGCACCCGCCAAACAATAACTCACCCCCCCCCAGCCTGACCAACCACCAACTGATAACTAGTCCAACCCTGCAGTCCTAGCCCTTCCGGGTAACTCTCAGTTACATCCTGGGCACAACGTGCTGTGGTATGGAATACCTCTTTGGCTAGTTTGGGTCAGGTGTCCTGTCTCTGCTTCCTCCTGGCTTCCCCTCCTCCCTAGCAGAGCGTGAGGCTCAGAAAGTCCTTGGCCAGGTGAAACATTTGAGCAGTAACTCAAAACATCGGTGCTATCAGCACCATTCCCAAGCCAAAAGTCAAAAACACAGTGCTGAACCATCTACTAAGAAGTAGAAAAAATGACTGCTACTGCTAAACCCAGGACAGTGAACAAAAGTCCCAGAAAGAAAACTTGGACACTAGAATTTGATTTTATTTTTGCCTTATTTGTTCTCTTCTTTGTCATGCTCTGGGTCATTGCAAAGCACTCTTTTGAGAGTAATGCTTGAACCACTCATAGGACATCTCATAGCATGCAACATATATTCACAAATGTTAAAATGTTACAGCAGTGTTCAGAGACAGAAAGATGTACCATGGCCTTCACTATTTTTTTAAACAATTTGAACTGAAAATTCACAAAACTAGTAATTACATGTTGTGTTCGTAGGAGCAGCGCACAGGTACTTGAGAGAGGCGGGGCATAGAGCTATGTCATGTAGGCACAGAGAGCGTGCTCTAAGCTTGCTGTCGGCAACACAGATGCATGCCAGTTCATGCCTCTTAACCTCAGGACCTGTGTATGGTCCCCTGTCCCTCAGTCATCTAGCAGTTACACTGATAGTAGTAATCACTGTCAGGGCACAGATTCTTAGTATTCTATGCACAGACATTGAGCTCAGGAAGCACAGTCCTAGATGGGTATGGATGGTAAACCCATGATAAGCCTCGTGTAGTCAGCTAAATCCTCTTTTACATATTTTTCCTCCTCAATAACAGAGTTAAAAATTTATCTATTTGGGGAGTTATTCACTGAATTCCTACTTTAGGAATTGGCAGGAATGTATTACGAAGGGAAACTGAAGAGTCTGCTGTCACCTGTCTCAGACAATATAGCTTTTTTGTGTAGTGTTAGAATTTATATTCATCTGAATGAAAATAATGAATGAGCTGAAGAGGTCACCCAGCTGCAGGGCTGCTGAAGATTGTTTCAGTTAGAATAAAATTACGAACTCTGTGCCTTTTGGTTTACTTACAAACTTTTTTGAGCACAAGAAGAACAGGAGGTAGTAAAGTCAGTTCCCTGACTGCAGAACTAAGTCTGTTAAAATATGCAGGCTTAGTATGCTGCCTTTCTTTATTGGAACTATAGAAATAACCCTCTTGCTTTCAATAAGAAATAGTACTTACCCAAGTGAATTTACCATGTGAAGAGATGAGATAGTCATGGGAAAAATATTAGCCTGTTTTATAGGTAGAATATCCAGATTTTTTTTTCCTATCTATATAACATGCCTAAGACAGAAATCTCATTTGCTCTAACCTTCAGATTCATCTGTTGTCTCCTGAGACAGAAAGGTATAGGTTTTTTTTCCAGACATTATTGTATCCAATTTTTTTGACTTGGCCCAGAGATGGCAAGAACTGTATGAAGTTCTGTATAGGCCTTTCTACCATTCCACAGTACTTCCAGGAACTCATTCAGAAACAGTACATCTCCTGCATATGTCTCATACACCAGACAGAGCCTCAAAGGTACTGTCTAGCCAAGATAATCTCTCAGCAATTTAGCAGATTGGAAAATATGCATTGGAGTGTATTTAGGATTTTGAAAAATTACACTGCAACCCCAACTAGAACTCTACAAAACGAAGTCCAACATACTACATTCTGGAGAATAATGACTCTGTATCAAATAGAGCTAAGAGTATAATTTATCAACATTAGTCTTGATGGGGCATCCAATGCACTGTGATTGATTTAAATGTTTAGATTTCTAATGTTTTGAACAGGTGGCTAACTTATAACAACAGTTTAAACTTTTATAGCATCTTATCACGCTGAGGCAGCTCACGGTGTTTTACAATGACATTAAAATTAAAATTTAATTTATCCTGCAGAGTTAATAATTCGCTAATGTCAGTTAAAAGTCAATGAAAATAAATCAGTCATAAATGTAGGCTTAAAAAGAAGAAAATAGGGATCTTTTGATGACAAGACAATGACAAGTTCTGCCAAGTAGATGCATGGCAGTGGAAAGAGCAAGCACCCTAAATGACATTTCAGTGAGGGTGTCCTGGGTTCAGCAGTAGCAGTCATGTTTCTCCTTTATGGTAGCTGGTGCAGTGCTGTGTTTTGACTTCCAGACTGAGAACAGTGTTGGTGAAGCCGATGTTTTCGGTTGTTGCTAAGTGATGTTTACCCTGACCAAGGACTTTGTGAGGCTCATGCTCTGCCAGGGAGGAGGGGAAGCCAGGAGGAAGCAGAGACGGGGTGCCTGACTCAGGCTAGCCAAAGAGGTATTCCATACCACAGCACGTCATGCCCGGGGTGGGGGGTAACTGGGAGTTACCCGGAAGGACACAGGCTTCCGGGTGGGACTCGTTTCTTGGCCGGTGGTATCGTATTCTCTTCCCTTGTTATTTTCCCTTATCATTGTTGTCGTTGGTAGTAGCGGTGGTGATTTGTGTTGTACATTGGTTGCTGGACTGTTCTTGTCTCAACCCATGCGAGTTGCACTCTTTCGATCCTCTTCCCTGTTCCTCCGGGAGCGGGGAAGGGGAGAGCCTCGGGGGGGAAGGGGGGGGGGGGGCTATGATTGCTTTCAGCCCAGCACCACTCACTGGGAGTGAGTGAACAAGCTGTTTGGCTAGGGTTTAAACCATGACAGGGGATTAAAATTTTGAAAGATGAGTTTTGATCTTGGTTGCTAGGCCTGCTTATGGATTCATTCACTTTTTGATTTATAAAGCACTGTAAAAGTCCTTGGAGATGGGGTCAAGAGGTAGCCATTCTCTCTTTCAATAGATGACTATTGTCACTTGAATTTGACCCCCAAACTGGGCATCAAAAAGTACTGTGGTCATTTAACTCAGTTTAACCCCAGCTGGCAGCTAAGCCCCACACAACAGCTCACTCACCTCCTCAGTCCTCTGATGGGATGGAGGAGACAGTCAGAAGGGTAAAGTGAGAAAACTCATGGGTTGAGATAAAGACAGGTTAATAGGTAAAGCAAAAGCCATGCACGCAAGCAAAGGCAAGGAATTAATTCACAACTTCTCTGCAGGCAGGTATTCAGCCATCTGTAGCAAAGCAGTGCTCCATCACACATGATGGTTACTTGGGAAGACAAACTCCAAACACCACCCCCTTCCATTGCATTTAGGAGGATGGAGCAAGGAGGGGGATGATCTCTTCTCCCAAGTAGAAAGTGACTGGACAAAAGGTAATGGCCTCAAGCTGCACCAGGGGAGGTTTAGACTGCAAAAATTTCTTCACCAAAAGGGTGTTGGAACAGGGAAGTGGTAGAATCACCATCCCTGAAAGTGTTCAAAAACTGTAGATGAGGTCCTTAGTGACAGTTCAGTGGCAGTCTTGTCAGTCCTGGGGTAATGGTTGGACTTGATGATCTTAAAAGTCTTTTCCAATCTAGTTGATTCTATGATTCTATTCCTCCTTCTTCTGCAGCTTTATATGCTGAGCACGACATGATATGGTATGGGATATTCCTTTGGTCAGTTGGGGTCAGCTGTCCTTGCTGGGTCCCGTTCCAGCTCCTTGTGCACGCCTAGCCATCTTTCTAATGGGATGGTGTGAGGAGCAGAAAAGGCCTTGACTCTGTGTAAGCAGTAGTAGAAACATCCCTGAATTATCAACATTGATTCTTGCACAAATCCAAAATACAGCCCATGCTGGCTATTATGAAGAAAATTAACTCTAACCCAGCTAAAACCAGCACACGCTTTTCTCTCTATCCCAGTGAGTTTTACATTTGTTTCTGCAAAGTAGCATAGTTGCAAAATGAAAAGATACTTCAGCATCTCAAGCCACAGAATTACATGTATTTGAATTTCTTCAGTCTGAATCCCACCTAAACAGTAGAAACACCATCACCTGACCTCTGTGTTTTACAGGAAAGAGGTGCCAATTATTTTGAAAGGAGGGACACAGGTCCATTAGTGCAGGAGAGGTTTCTGAGTTGTAAAACTGTTCTGACACAAGCGCAGGATTTAAGTCTTGACCTTCTCTGTTCTATAAACCTTGCACAGCATGCTGTCTGTTATGAATCCTATCTAATCCTCCTCATGCATTGTATAGAAAGTCAGCATATTTAACTAAATGCTATGGATTATACTTGAGAAATGAGTTTTGTTTCTGGTCTGAGCTATTTATTGGTGATGTTCATCATTGACAGTGAACTACTGAGGGACCTGAGGAAATTATTTTTCTTTAGATCCCCAAGTCTGACATAGCTAAAGAATGTACCTGGTGTGGGATTCAGTGTTGCAAGGTCTCTTTGTAATCTTGCCTTCAAGCCAACTGTCTTTTGATTTTCTACCTGAAAAAAAAAAAAAACAACCAAAAAAAAGAGGTCAATAGACTTTTTCATTCCTTATTGGTGTGATTTTTTACTCTCATCAGAACAACTGTGTAGACCTGCATGAAGCCAATTAATTACCTTTAGGCTTGGTCAAAACTGCAAGGAAAAGGTGAAATTGCAGCAAGTTATCCTACGTTTGGTATCTTAATCCAGCTAACAGCTGTAATGAATGATGACAGTATGGGTTCTCATATGTATATTCCCAGAACATCTGGAGAGCTTGCTTTTAATACTTGTTATCTGTGCTTGCCCAATTAAACCATCGCAGGTGTGCTACAAATCTGTTAAGCCTCATGTATTGCAGGTGAAACTCCTGTGGTTGACTTGCACTTAACAGTCTTCTGTGGCTCTGGCTGTAGCTTCACATAGGTAGTGTTGTAAGGTATGTCCCAGCACCAAATGCTGCAGTTAACTGAGCAGAATAGAAGTAGCCAGAGAAGTGAGGATGTTGTCACCTCATGGAATCACATGTTTAAAGCACCCCATACCCTCCTGCTGGAGGTTACTGCCATACAGACTCCCTCTTCCACATGACCCAGCCCAATAAAGCTTCAAGCAAGTACAGAGAAAGCTGGGAAAGTTTTCATATTTGCACACTCCAAAATTCTTCCTTAATTTATCTCATTGGTGTACATTAGACAAGAAACATCTAATGATTAAACAGGTGATTTTTATTAGTTCATCAAAGCTGCAAATATATGAGAATCTTATGGGGTAGTGCATATATTAATGAGAAAAAATATGCAAATGTATGTGCAGAAGAAACATAGCTCTCTGGCTCTTGTCAAGCTGCCAATATGGACATTAGTCTTGCAAAGTTTGGGTAACCTGTAGGGTTTTTATATGTCATCCTAAGTAGCCAGTTAGTATTATAAAAATTGACTGATAATAAGTGCAATTAGGCCAAGAGAGAGGTCATACCTGTGAAGCATCTAATGACAAGATCTCGACAATAGGAGTTTGATATGCGAGGGAAGTATTAAAGAAGATACAAGAATGCATAATTAAGGGGTGACAGAGGTCAGCAGTTAATACTTGGACATTTGTATTTCTTTCCTCAGGACAGGACAGTAGAATCACAAGAGGATTTAATTTCAAATCTGACACAGAAAGAGGACAAAGATGCTATTAATATCTATTATGCTTTTTTAAATTATTTTAATGTGCATGTTATGCTTCTTATTCAATATTTTGTTATTTATTAGTGAACTGAAAAGACATAGGTATGTTTTTGTGACCAGAGTATATAAGGTATAAATCAGGTTTCCATGTACATGCTAATTACAAGGACAAAATTAGAGTTAACATGTCAAAATCCTTAAGTACTATTTGCAGGTACTTGTATTTTGGAAAAATATATACAGCAGGATAGTTTGGTATAAATTAAAATGCTTATTAAATGTCAGTAGTTCTAATAAGTGACTGATATCTAATTAATGTGTCATATGTGATAATTTTTAAATGTTAATTAATGCCTAAAGACTTAATAAGTGCTGCTTGACCTATTAATTACATTAGACAAAACCTTACAGTAATTGTTTCCTAAATGAGATGCTCAAATAAAGTGTTTAAAGTGTTACCATATGACACTAATATGGTGGCAGGCTGATTTTATATAAGGCCCGTGATTCAGAGACAACCTTTGAACCACTGCTTCACACACTTATGTAGAACAGAATTGCACTATTTCCAGTTTCATTGAAATATTTAATGGCCTCTTCATTCTTTGGAAGTGAGCAATTAATACTATGGGCTAAAGCCTGCTGTAATTTAGACAGGCACTGCAGAAGTGTTTCCTTGTGTTCCTATCAGTGCAGATCTGTCTGCAGTGTACTCCACAAGCTGCCTTAGCTGTGGTTATCTCCTGAGCAGACTCTCAATGTCAATAAGTTCTGGGGTCCATCCTCACCTTAACATGAACTCAGCTTTAAGAAAGATGTGGCCATTAAACAAAGAGATGGAGAGAAACTGTGGTCCAGTGGTTATTCCTTATAAAGGATGGGGGGCTGCTTCACTGATTTCCAGTGTGGCTGGGACAAAGCCATGCTACTCTTTTAAAGATGCTATGTGCTAGTCTTCCTTTACTCTCTCTGTGATAGAAGTGTAGCTTTTTCTTCCCATATCAGTGGTTTGAAATCAAAATCATTAAACACTGTAAGGTGTTCATATGCACTGGTAGCTGGGAGCCAGAAAAGACATCAGAGTTTCTTTATAATTACAGTAGAATACAGTAATTACTGTTTTCAGAGAATTCACTGGAAGTTTATGAGTCTTCTCAGAATTATATTTACAGTATTTAGATATGTGTATATATCTATTTGATTAATAAGTAAGCTGTACCTAAAATATATTTTTTAAATTTAATTAGTAGCTTACAAAAATTTCTTTCTTCATCTGTAAAGAAAAAAATCCCTGTTTTGTCTGGGTTTGGTGTTTTGTTTTGTTTTGTTTTGTTTTATGTTCTAATTGAGAGCAATCTTGTAAGAAAAATTCCCATCTTTTGGAGAACTAGATTTTTCAAGCATTTGTTTGGTCACTTGATACTTTAAATTAAAAAAATATTTTCAGTTAGTTTCTGGAAAATAATTGCATACTTAGCTATTATGTCTGATGTTCAAGATAAATTCCACTAAATTAACAGTGGGTTTTTTTTTTTTACAGCTCCTCTTCTAGCATGTGTATTCTCTGACTGTCATGCCCATGCATGTTTTGATGGAGCTATTTCAATTATCTCTTTATAAAAGTTCTGTTTACTTGCTGTCCTGGGTTCAGCAGTAGCAGTCATGTTTTTTTTTTTTCCTTTGTGGTAGCTGGTGCAGTGCTGTGTTTTGACTTCCAGTCTGAGAACAGTGTTGGTGAAGTCGATGTTTTCAGTTGTTGCTAAGTGATGTTTACCCTGACCAAGGACTTTGTGAGGCTCATGCTCTGCCAGGGAGGAGGGGAAGCCGGGAGGAAGCAGAGACGGGGCGCCTGACCCGGGCTAGCCAGGGAGGTATTCCATACCACAGCACGTCATGCCCGGGGTGAGGGGTAACGGAGTTACCCGGAAGGACACGGGCTTCCGGGTGGAACTCGTTTTCTTGGCCGGTGGTATCGTATTCTCTTCCCTTGTTATTTTCCCTTATCATTGTTGTAGTTGATAGTAGCGGTGGTGATTTGTGTACATTGGTTGCTGGACTGTTCTTGTCCCAACCCGTGGGAGTTGCACTTTTTTGATCCTCCTCCCCGTTCCTCCGGGAGTGGGGGAGAACCCCGGTGGGGGGGGGACACGGACCTCGATTGTTGTCAGCTCGGTACCACTCACTGGGAGTGAGTGAACAAGTTACCTGACTGGGTTTAAACCACGACACTTGCTCAAAAAGCATTTGGTAGGAAAAAATGTTCAGATGAGTTACCAGGACTAGTTTATCTTCCTCAACCTTTAAGCTCAAATATGAGCAGTTATAGAGTTGTTGTAGATTGTTTTTCATTCAAATGTCCCCTTATTTGCCACCAGTTGCCTACAATTTCAGGAGAGGAGAGGGAGAGGAGAGGAGAGGAGAGGAGAGGAGAGGAGAGGAGAGGAGAGGAGAGGAAGAAAAAAGAAAAGAAAAAAAAGGAAAAGAAAAGAAAGAAAAAAAAGAAAAGAGAAAAGAAAAGAAAAGAAAAGAGAAGAAAAGAGAAAAGGAAAAGAAAAGAAAAAAGGAGAAAAGAAGAAAAGAAAAAAGAGAAAAGAGAAAAGAAAAAAAAAAGAAAAAAGAAAAGAAAAGAGAAAAAAAAAAGAAAGAGAAAAGGAAGAAAGGGAAATTTTGTGTGCTGTAAACCATTATACAATCAGCTTTTTAGACACAACAATTAAATTAATTCCTGCCAGGGATGTACATAATGATCAGCATTTCTGCATTTATAGTGAACAGTAGGTTTCTCACCTTGATCTGTATCCTTGTGTCATTCTGAGGGAAATATGGAGGTGTCAGTGACTTCGATGGTGAAGTGCTACCATCAAGGATCTTAAGTAGGACTGTCAGCAGCTGCAACAGTTACTAATGGAAGAAAACAACACCTCAGATCACAAAAGAAAAAAAAAAGAAAAAATATAAATCAAAACCCTGCGCATATAAGGTAAGAATTATTTTCATTTTGAGGTTCCTAATGTGCCTGTGCATTGCACAGTTTTAAAAAAGCAACTCCATTTAAATTCCTTGGTTTATTTTTGAATAGATTTGATCTAAATTTGGTGATAATTAGAACCCCAAACAAGTATTCTTAATGGTGATATGGTTTTAAAAAGGATTTTCTTAAACTCCATGCTTAGTGAATGGATAGACTCCTCCATCAGGTAGAAGAAAATAGAAAACTCCTATGGTCTGTGAGAGGAAAAGAAAGATCAAGAAGAGTGTTTCTCCCATAGCTATCTGGGAAACAGATTAAAGAAGTAATCAAGCTTGTGTTTCTGCACCATATAGTTCAGTGCAGCTTCAAACTGCCACAAAAGTTGGATGCAGAGAGTCAATGTGACCTCTCTGCAAGGAAAACATGCCCTTGGAGGTCTTCATACCACTGTGTGTAGATGCACGGGTTAACCCATTCACACTGGGTTCCAGGCGCAGCAATCACACCAGCTAGGATATGAGTAGTATTCATAGGAGACTACATATGCACATTGTGGCCAGTATAACAGGCTGATGTGTGTCTTGAAAGAAGAGAAGGAAATACTGTGGGATATGTGGATATTAAAATGTTCAAAGAGATTTTAAAATGCAAATGGAAGTAGCAGTAACATAGCGGGCAAAGGGTAATCTTTTCCCTTTCCCTTCCTTATTGTTTGTGGTGTACATGGACAGGGATACCCTCTTCCCTTGAAAACCCAAAAGCATGTTTAGCAGGTGTGCCTCTGATTCAAGTTTGGGCCCATAAGTGTATTTTAAGAAGTGAACTAGTTTAATTTAAATGCTAATGTGCAACTTAAAATAACATGCATTTTGGTTCTTAACTGATGCAAATAATAATTATTGGTCTGTTTTTTGTTGGTCTTAGTGGGATGTTAAGGCTGGAATAGACTTTCAGATTCAACATGTTGATAAGATCACTGTTCAGTGATTTTGCTGATGATTGTTTTGTTGTTCATAATTTTATCAAGTGTGCTACGTAATAAAGCTGGTCTGCAAGCTTTGTGTGCCTAGTGGATACATGTGCAGTTGTCTGAAAATATCTCAAATTATACTCAGTTTATGACCTATGAATAGTGGAAGGGCAAAGATAGTAATTCTGATAGTTCCCACTTCAACTGTGCAGCCTATCTAACAGCTACTCTAGGTGCATCAACTTAAAGATGAGTTGGTTGGTAAGGTCAGCAGATCTGGGATAACTTCAGCTATTAGCATCAGGCAAATAAGACCGTAATATCAACTGTTGGCAGACAAGAGGAAAACATAATCCTTAGGAAGTGATAATGAAAAAGTATCTCCAGGCAGTCACAGCCTGATCATGTCCTTTTGGGGGAAAATAAAACAACTTGAGGGGCAAATATTATTTTCCAAATTGTAGAAATTAAGAAATCTGAAGCAGAACTGATTAGAAGCTAGTGGAGTAACTATATATATGTTGTGGTTTAAGCTCAGCTTAAATCACGCAGTCGCTCTCTCACTCACCCCCTTTCCTTCTCCCGCACCCAGAGTGATGGGGAGGAGAACTGAAAGAATGTAACTCCCATGAGTTAAGATAAGAACAGTCCAGTAACTAAGGTATAACACAAACCACTACTGCTACCACCAATAATAATAATGATGAGGGAAATAACAAGGGAAGAAAATACAACACCTCACCACCTGCCAACCAATAATACCCAACCCAAGCGGTGAAGTAGCCCTTACGGGTAACTCTCAGTTTACCTCCTGGGCATGACGTGCTGTGGTATGGAATACCTTTTTGGATAGTTTGGGTTAGTTGTCCTGTCTCTGCTTTCTCCCAGCTTCCCCTCCTCCCTGGCAGAGCATGAGGCTCACAAAGTTCTTGATCAGACTAAACATTTGAGCAACAACTAAAAACATTTTTATTATCAGCACTGTTCCCAGGCTGAAAGGCAAAAACACAGCACTGCATCAGCTACTAAGAAGGAGAAAAAAATGAGTGCTACTGCTGAACCCATGACAATATATTAAGATGTATAACAGGGTAAAAGCCTCCAGCAGCAAACTGGATAAGGAGAAGGCAGTCATCATACTGACTGCCAGGTTTCTTTAATTATAGTGGTTGGTCTAGCACATTTAACTGTTAACTATGTAACAGTGACTAGGCTAAGTAAAAATGTTTTGGTATGGGTTTGTGATTTTTTTATATTTTGAATTCATATGCATCTTTTCTGCTTTTTTTTGATTGAGTTTAAACCTTGAGTTTGAAACCTGCTTCTCCATGCAAGCACCAGGGATGTGGTATAGAAATATATATATTTTCAGAGAATTATCTCTGAAAATTTCAGAGGTATATTCACTAAACACAGAGATATTTTCATTAATCTGCTGAAGTAATGGACCTAGTATGATGAGCACACATAGAAACAAAGAAGTGGCTATCTTTGCATAAAAGGTGGCCAAACTGTAGCTGGATATTTGTATTTTCTATGATATAGAAGATGACAAATAATGTATTCAAGAAAGATCCGAATGAATCCAAGTAAAACACATTAACATGGTAAACTTCCTTCACCGATTTACGGACCTAGTAGAAGTAAAATATAGAGTTATGGAAACGAGCTTGCTCCTTGGAGTTCTAAATGAGGTTAAAATGTACAACATAAAATGAAGTATTTTATTCCTGAAATATTTTACAGTATTATTTTGCAATCCTAAAGGATTCAGATGTATTTTGGTTGCCAAAATTACCAAAGAGATTAGGAAACATTAGCTCCTGTTTTGGGATCTTAAAAATATTACTGAATTTTGGAAACATCCTGTTACTAAGAGTTACCATTTTTCCCTCAATAACTGTAACTGAGTACTATTAAAAAGCAAAAGAAATAAAAAAGTACTATAGAGGGAAGAGTAGAGACACCCTAAGTAACAGTAGCTTTTAAACATTAGTTTAAGAAACTAACATTTAACACCAGAGTTAACATGTACGAAAGCATTGATATTATGGGGATGAGACAAAGAGAAGAAATGAGGAGATTAGGACATGCACAGACATTGTAATTAAAATATATATTAAAGTTAAAAACTACATGTAATCATTCTTTGTAGCTCTGTCTTCTCAAGAAATATGTTCTTGACATGGCACGTAACTGGTTCTATCCTACATGGAAATCATATATATAGAAACCTACCAGTATCTAATACAACTTTAGAATGAGAAAACCTGCTTCTCTGCACCTGTTTTGACTTCAAATTCCTGGCCCACCTGCAGTTCACCAGATGTTCTGGTATTTCATTGCTTGCATGTCTCTATCTGTATTTTATTGTGTTTACCAAAGAAAATGCTTTGGATAAAGTTATTGGAGATGTTTATTTATTTCCCTGCTGAGTGACAAACCAGACTAGAGATTAGCAACAGATTTTCATCATACTCCTTCCTACAAGAAATAATAAAGAAAAACTCCATGTTAATAAGAAAATAAATGAGCCAATGTTGTGTGCAACGTAACATAAAAATTTACCAGTGTCCTGTGGCTTCCCAAAATTTGTGTTTCATTGCCTTTACATAAAGTAAGAAATCAATAAACAAGCAAATAAAAATGATGTACAGAAGCTTGCGATTTGAATATGGGAAAAAAAATTACATTCCTGAAAAAATTCTGGAAAGGTAGAAAAACGCGCAATGAGAAAATGAGAAAAATGCTCTATGTGTGAAAATGGAACAGGAAAAAAAAAAGGAAAAAAGAAAGAAGACTGCTATGCCTTAGGGTACTAGAAAGTGTATGATGAACTAGTTATATGAATATGCCTGTGATTTTCTAAGGAGGTTAGGGTTGCGCTTTTAAAAAACCTTCTGGCTAGTAATTTTAATTTAGATTGCTACCTTAAAGGGAATATTATAAATAATTACAGATCACAGTTAGATCCCAGATAAGTGCTGTACCACTAGGTACAAATATGTTGAATAAAACAGTATTAAGAAGTTTTCAAGGCAGCAAGTTCCAGATTTTCAGTTCCTTGCACTGTAAGTATGTTGGATCACTGTGCCCAACAAAATAGACTGAAACTTTATTACTTGTGTTCATCTCTTGCTAGCTGCTATCCTTCCATGAAACAGTACAGAAAAGTCTCACTTGTATTAATATCCTTCCCTTTTAAATGTCCCTTGGTCTATATTCACTGCATGTTGACAAAGAACTTCCCAAAGAATCCATTCATATTTTTGAGAATTAATTCTTTTTGGTAATTAAAAAACATCCTTACTGCACACACAATTTTTTCAGATAGTTGAGAGCTTTCTAAATGAAACAAGTTATGTCAATGCATTGATGTATATACCATGGGCTACTGTTAGCACTGCCATACTAATCACTTACATCTATTCATCTGTCATGATAGACAAAGTCTAGTAAAAATGTGTAAGATATATGTAGCTCAACACAAGACTTGTATTGCTGAAAATATATTCCTACAGCAACTCTGGCAGCTGAGTTTGTTTGCAAATTTACCTGAAGGCTTCATGTAATGGAATAAATAATCCTGCACCCTATATTCATTATGCATGTATACTGCCATGTCCAGCCCAAGGCAAAAAGCAGAAAATGCTTTGTGCAGATCCTTCAGAAAGCTTTGTGTGCCTATTCAAGAAGTATGTTTTTTTTCGTCTTACTGTCAGTTGTTGTTGTTACCAAGAACTAATAGATTTATTTGCTGGATACCGCGTATTTCATATCTGACAAAGGTACCTGAAGTGTCTGTTGCAAATTTGTTTTGTCATTTGTTTTTGCCAGCATGCTGACAAGAAAAATAATTTCAGATTTATTGCAAAATAGAAATCACTGAAACAATCACCCTAGTCACTATGTGCTGGAAGTGCAAAAGAAAAACAAAGCACTGTCACTGTTGACAATAATCTCAGAATATCTACAGGTGCCTTTCACCAGAAGCTGAAGTTAGTTTTGTTTGTTTGGTTGGTTTTTGTTTTTTTCTCATTCCTCCCAGACAGTCTTAATGGTCCAAACATTCAGGTTAAAAGCTCTGTCACTGAAGGGCAGGAACATGGAAGGCACCCATGCTGGAGCAGTCTGTTCCTGAAGGACTGCACCCCACAGAAGGAACGCACGCTGGAGCAGTTTGTGAAGAACAGATCTGTGGGAAGGACTCACGTGGGAGAAGCTCATGGAGGATTTTGTTTTATATCTCATT